ATTTCATTTTTGTCCGAAATCTTTTTATTAGTTGGACAAAATAATAAATGCTCCTCCACGATTAAAGTACATACAGAAACAAAGCGGGAACCTCCTGATTTTATATTAAAAATTTTAAAAAATTGAAAAATCCTAAAAAGATCATAACAATATTTGTTTAATATAAAGGTTTTGCAATTTGTATGCACAAAGATAGGTTCCCGCTAGAGATTGTATCAAGGAATGTAAATGAACTTTTAGAAATGAGTTTAGAAGCCTAATGAAAAAGATTTCGGTAAATAAACCAAATAAAACAAATATTGTTACGATTTGACTTCAGAAGCCGATAAAAAACTGTAATTTTTCAATTTTTTCTTAATTTTTAACATAAAACCAGGAGGTTCTCGCTTTGTTCCTGTATGTAGTTTAAAAATGTTTTGTATCTATTTTCAAAATATTGAGAATTTAATGAAAATTGTACAGAATGTCCTTACATATGTTTAGAATTTTCAGTACAATTTTTAAATCGATTCACAAGTTATAAGGATTTTAATTTGCACCGAATTAACATGTGTTCTTATGGAAAACGTATAATCACGTCGATTTAAGTGACAAAAACACATGGAAATAATATTCAGAATTTGTTTAAAATTTGCAAAAGTTTAGATATAGAGGAAATATTTGGTCAAATAATATTATACAAGTACTAACTTATTAAAAAAATATTAAATATAATTTAATGAAGTTAGCCATGTATCTGTCACAAGGTGAAATTCTCTGCCAAAGTTAATCATTTTGATTAACAAAATTCGGAATATTTCAATAAAAACGCAATAAATATTTAAAAATACATCTCTGCACTGTAGTTAAGATCAAATTGTAATATTCCACACAATTTCTTACTGAAAATACACTAAAAGTGGATATATTCGACAATATTGATTTTCAGTTACTTTTTGCTGGGACATACAAAACCTTTTGTACAAAACATCCTAAAATGATTTCGGACAAAAATGAAATATGACATTTTATCGATAAAATAGGACTTTTGGCATCCCCTTAATGTTTTCTATTCTTTTATATTTTCTTTAGCAATGCAAAGAAAAACAGTAGGTTATTGTTTGAGAATGCTAACTTTAAGATTGCAAGAGGAAGCCATTGTGTGTCAAGGATTTCATAGACAAAAAGTTTTTTGCAAATCCTCCTATTATTATGTTGAAAAATCTTTTGAAAAATCCACTTTATACATGTAAAGTAATTTGTTTGCGCACCCATTCTAGTCGTTCTTAACATCTTCTGCAACGGTTTATCTTTATTTCTTGAAAGGAGTAGCGCGTATGCATTTTAATCGCGCGGTGCGTACTTAGAAAAAAATAGATAAAGGTAGTGAAATGATCTTTTTCCCGAGGAGACTGTCGAACGGTGGAGGATCTCCTTTGGCGGCGTCTTTGGCGGCTCGTCCGCGTTCCTCGTATGACAAACGGAAGAATGGGAGAATGGCCCGGAGACAAGTTGCATCTACAGACAGTAAAGGTGGCGGAGCCCAGGTTTAAATTCTCGTCACCGTCCTCGTCGTCGTACACAGGTGGCGAGAAGTGCCCGGGAAAATATGATGGTGAATGTCAAAAGATGTCCATCGTTTTTGCATAATACACTTGAAGCAGCACAATGATCGCCAAGAACGTTTCATCCGCCATCAATGTCGACTCTTCGTGGTCTCCTGTATCACTCGTATAATCGACATCTATCCAGGAATTATACTTGTATTTAAAAAGAGCGAAACACATGCTTCCTTGAGATTTCAAAATAATTCAAAATCATCTTTTATCGATATTTCAAATTCTGTGTTTGAAATGGAGCAATTTTTAGAGACTTCTATGAAATGTATATTGAAGCCAAATAGCCAAGAACTTAATAATAAGCATTATATATTGCGGAAGAAATTACTTTTGTCAATTAACGTTACTGTCGAGCAAAGTCAGTAGATGTGCCGAAAAACACCGCGTCTTTTGTCTATTTCTTGAATGTCAGTCGTTATTTAAGTTAGACGCCGGCGTGTCCGCCCCCATGCACGGAAGGCACGTTACGTTTTGACAAATGTAACGTCGCACAATAAGTAGAATGGACTCGAGTTCAAAGGACGACCGCTGAGAATTCTTGTATGTTCGAAAGCCGCAATCCCTCTCTCGTCGCTGTTAGTTTCATTTCCCGCCGGGCAAAGTGAAAACCGCACGAAAAGAGGCATCATTTATTGTCCACCATGAGATTCGGGGCAGGTTCTACTCTAAGAGGAAAACAGCAGCTTCTTTTGAGAATATGCAAGAATTCGTCAATCATGCTTTGCGCAAATCTAATATAATTTCTACAGCACATTCAAAATTTTGGACTCAGGGATGCTTTAGCCTATTTAAAGTTTTCGATTACATTACTCATTTTTTTAATTAAGAAAAACGTAAAATTACGTACAAATCAAAATCAAAACTGAATCCATTAAATGTGTCGTATCAGCTTTTGCGATTTAATACTTTTTTTAAGGAATTTGATTTTTGAAAATTCCAGCTATCATATAAATTTTCATATAGTTCTAACAATAATCTCTGCAGGCCCGGGCGATGCTTATGTTTGAATCCGATGCATGAGAAGGAAATGTGGGCGATTTCGGTCGAACTTGTGCGACGCGAACGAGAAATTAACTGAGCGGCGGGTCGGCGTAAGAAATAGAATTACTGTCGTCACCGTTTAATTCCGCATCGCGAAATCGACGATAGCGCGCTGGCACAGGTAGGCAAATAAAAGAGCGACCTAATCCCCGTTTGTTGGGATGGATGGATTCTCCGGCGTCACAACAAGCCACTCATGCTCTCGATATATATTCCCGTGTGCATTCGACCAGCGATAGAGCCGCGAACAGGAGAGAGATTCAATATTATTATTTCGAAACACAGATGGAAGACGAAGGAAGAGACGAAGCTAAGAATGGCTGGAAAAGCACGACGATGTTCGACTTTGATCCGCACAATAGTCCGCGAGAACGCTCGATTGAACGATAATATGGGCCTAATATTGAACAATGAGAAAGAGAGAGAATCGACTTAGGAGCAAATATTTAGCGAAGGTATAGCCCGGTCAGTTTCTTCTCTCGATGGCTTTTCTTTGCCGCGTATATACGTGTTTTTTTTCTCTAGTTGCGAGGAAAATGAACGCACGAGCTGCTGGTTCTCTCAACCAAATAGGTATCAATGGCACGGATAGAGATATTGCATAGAAATGTTTTCGGAACGAAGCGCTGAATGCGAGGATATTAAGAAGTCCGAAGAGGATCTGATGTTAAGCATCGAACGGTTGAGCGACGATGAAATGAAGAGATCCTTGCAATCTGACTGGTTACGATATTGTCCTCTGCAGGCTGAGTTTCCTTCTGAAACATATATTTCAAGAGATAAAGATTAATCTTAATAAAGGAAACCAATATATTATACAAAATAAAGAAATGTGCTCCAATAAATTTCTAAAAGAAACAAATTAATTCCCCAAAAAATAGCAAAGTACTTCAAGCACAAAGAAATATAAAATTTCGATTTAAAGAGAAAAATAAGATTGACAGACAATGGAATGCACATCTATAGAGTTGGCCTCTTCATTAAGATCTTAATTATTTTAGACAATATCCTGGCTACGTGTAATTTCCACAACGGATTAATAGGAGAGGCTTTTATAAAAGGTACTCATCATCATCATCGACGATAAAATTTTACAAGTACAACCGATGACGATGAAAGGCAGTCGATCATAAAACGTATCAATCCTATGAATACGCAGCAAGATGGCGGTGAACCATTGGAGGTGACCATTGCTTGCCTTTTACGAGAACTTTATGGATACTTTAATGACTGACGGCGTATGTAGCGTGTATACGCAGAAAACATGAAGCCGTTTCGTGCAAGCAAATATAATGAACGAACTTTAAATCAGGACTAAACATCGAAAATTTTTATGCTTATACAACATATGTTGATGTATAAATAGATGAAGATTTATACACTTATTACATTATTAATTCTTAATTTATAAATTTAATTTGCAAAAAAGTATAAAGCATCCGTAAAATATAATAAAGTACTCTCGTAAATACAATTAATCATTCTATTTTGTATTATAAATTATGAAAATAAATCCGTGACGATATGCTAGGATTTTCTTTGAAATATTAGGTGAAACGTCTTGATTTCAATCATAGGAAACAATTAAGCCGTAAGAAATATGATGACTGTGCGCAATACACACATTGTACACATGATGATCATCGTCTCATCAATATCCCATTCAGAGAAAGAGGCCCGCTCATCAGCGACGACGAACCGAATGATAGTGCGACTTTTTCGACGATTTATTAATTAGCAGTGATGGCTGTTTTAATATAAATTAATAATCGTTACGAAATTTAAGCCGTCATTATACATCATACTGTCATTTTAATAGCGCAAAATTTTTACCAAAAACATCCTTACAATTTGCGGATTAATCGTAAAAGACATTCCACTTGGTACGTCGTCATTAATAATGCTTGTTTACGTTAAACCAGGAAAAAATTAGGAAACTTTTGACGCAAACAGTCTACAAAATTTCTCATAATGACCTTTAAGAATAATATTGATTCACCGCAAATTTCTCTCTCTTTCTCACTGTGCCTTAAATTTTTATAATAAATTTAAATTTTTAAATAGATATATAAGTAAAATAAACTGTAACACAATGTATTAAAAGCGTGTGTTATATATTTGATATAATTTCTTAAACGTATATTATGCTAATAGTATATTATGCTAATAAGTTATTTATCTATAAATTTAGAATCGTATAAATATTAATTGCATTTGACAGATATTTATATCATAATCTCTCGGAGTGATTAATTAATTTAAAAGGAATCCAGATAAATTATCTGGATATCTTTTCTTAATTTATTTATCGTTTTTTCCGAATTTCTTGAATATAATGAGTGTCATTTTTATGGTCTTTAGGTCGTTGCGGTGATGACTCTGACACGGAGAGCGAGCCGGGCATTCCACTGAAGCGAAAGCAACGAAGAAGCAGAACGACGTTCACCGGTGAACAGCTCGAACAATTGGAAACTGCCTTCCAGCGAGCTCAATATCCAGACGTTTATGCCAGAGAGGAATTAGCCCAGAGGACCGGACTGACAGAAGCGAGAATTCAGGTACGTCTCGCATTAATTATGGCAATATTAATCTTGAAAAAACATTATATTTTTATCGACATTATGAAAAATATACGCTCGCCTTGTCAAAAACGTGCGAATATATTTACTCGACTAAAACTTCATGCATTATTCATGCAACGCTAATTATATGCGCGATTCGAAGCCTGAAAAGAGAGAGGCTCGCGTAAAAATTCGAGATAATATATAAAATTGTGCGAGCGCTTCTTTATCGCGATTATCGCCCATCGAGCCGATCCCATCGCAAGGCACCGTCCGCCTTCGCTGCTTCAGGTGTGGTTCAGTAATCGCAGGGCGCGCCTCCGCAAACACACCGGTAGCATAGCTCATTCGGTGGCGGGTCTGCCGCTGACACCGTGCCAATACGCCAGCCACGAGCTTGCCCAGATACCGCAGGTACCGCAGATGCCGAGCGGGATACCGCAGGTACCCACGACGTTGCATCACAGCCCGACGACGTTGCACCAGGCGCCCGGCGTGCACCAAGTGCCCGGTACCGCTGTCGCTCAAATGGCGACCACGATGGCCCAGGTGCCCACGACGATGAGCAGCGCTCTTCAAGGACACGCGGTCGCCATTTCCGGCCATCTCGGCTCGCTTCCGGCGCACGCGGCCTCCATGCAACTCGCACAGGTGTCGACGATGCAGCCACCGGCCGCGCATGCCGCGCCGACGTCGCTTTCGCACAACAGCGGTATGTATTTTATAATTCGACATTTTTCCCGAGTCCCTGGAAGATATTTCAAAATTGTATCTTCAGTCTTTAGATATTTTTAAAGGAATTTATTTGTTACACACTGAGAACAATCGTTTGATTGTACCAACAAGACGTGTATGATTGAAGGCATTTTGGTTATCAAACAAGAATTTCTAGTTATCATGATAAGACTCGATTTTTTATAACTACGTTTAATAGATTTTATTATAAGGATTTGATTAGTATTTTCTGGTTGGATCTATAAAATTTCTTGTTACATTAATTTCTTTGCTTGCCAAATCCAAAGTATATTTTTTTTCTCTTACGAGCAGTAGTGCCAGAAAGAGGACGCTAGCTCTCTGATTGTGTGTGTTTGAGCTGCATCCTCTTCTTGCATTATTGTTTATCAGTTTAATTTCTAACAAACTGAATTTAAAATAATTTATTCAATAATCTGAATTGAATTTATCCAATAATTTTGTTGGAATTCAGAGAATATTAAACAGATTTTTGAGATTAGATGGAAAAAATTTTAGATGACTTGATGCTGGCGAATTTAGTATTATTAATCAAAAAATTTAGTAAATTTAACAGGAATAAATTAATCAGATTCATCTGGTAATTCCTTCAAGAATTCTGGTTCGTCCATTTTCCAACAGACATACTGATTGAATCTAGAATTCTAATTAATGCAACCAGATTTTTTCTCAGTGCATATATCGTAGATCTCTTCATTTCTTTGATGTATCAATAATCTCGGGTCATTGAATTTGAAATATTAAAATGTTAGAGTAGAGTACAGGTAGACAATTTATTCAAAATGTTTGAAACTTCACTAAGATCTCTATCGGGATCTATATTTGTTTTCAGGTAGTACCGATTGGTCCAGGACGCAGTTTGGCTGGGGACAGTTTAATCATTTTCAGAGTGGTGATTACGGTTCGAGTCACCCTGGTCATCAACATGGATCTCAAAATACTCAATCCTCAAGTACCACGAACACTGCAACGTCAGATTGGTACGATCAAGGCTACGATTACGTTCCACACTCTCAACTTAATTATCATCGTAGCGTAGGTGGAATATTTTAGCCGATCAATTATTGTACAGAGATTAATTGTAAAAGAAAGACGTTAAAGATGTTAATATTTCCAATGTATATAATTGTACACACAATGTACATAATTATTATATATATAATATATTATTAATCTATGATTTTTTGTATATTTTTATACATTTTCCTCTCTAAAAGATATTACCATGCTTGAATTAGCATACAATATTATGATTAAAATTTCTAAATCACAAAAAGATTTTTTATTTTGATTGATTTGTTTTTTTTTTAATATAAGAAATGCTTAATTATCTTTCTTTAAAAGGAAAGTTTAAAGCAAGACTTGACATATATTACGTACACATTTATAATTTTATTACATTTTATGAAAATTGAATATCGAAATGTTGTATATTAGATACATTGGAAAATAATTTTTCTCACATTTAAGTATGCTTTTTAATATAATTTTTTTTTTCAAAGTAAACCAAAATATTATTTATTATTATTGCGATAGATTTGTATTAATCTTTCGTCAAAATTCTATAAAAAATTTATCAAATAAATAGCGATACATATTCAAATACATCTGAATGATTTTTGAAACGTGTTATCAAATAAATTTAATGCTAGCTAATATCTCTTCTCTGATTCACAAACATATTTATACGCGTCACATATTTGTTTCCATAAATATCAGTATAATTTTAAGAAATCGCATATAAATATAAAAGAAACCAATCAAGGAAACGATCGAGTTCTTTAAAATTCAGCGAGTTTACATCAAAATGAATAGACGGCGAGGTACACAATTGACGATCTTTTTGGTAAGTATCTCTAACGTGTAACACACTATAAATAATATATAAGAATATTTAAAAATATGTTTATAGCTAGAAATTTTTCATGCACAAATAAATAATTGACACATTCGATTAAGACATATTTTCACTTTTTAAGAAAGATATAATTGTTTTATACATTCTTTTGTATTAATCTACTTAACTTTTGTAAAATCTACTTAATTTGTTTCGTCAAGCTCGATGTATTTAGATTTAAAAACTTTCGATCAATTTTTATTAAAAAAAGTGAAGTGGAGAATCTTACAAAAATCTTACAATTATATATTTTTAAATTATCATCTTTTCATTATCGTGTTTTAGGCGATTATCTTTAACTGCAAAGGCAAGAATTTAAGTACTGAGTCATTTACATTGATCATCAATATTTCTGGAAATCTCAATCGCAATAATAATGTCACAAATAGTAACAATGATATGAATGGTAATTTAATAAACGGGAATAACAATGGAAAGAATTCCAATTCGGATAATGTTGCCAATGATGAGTCTGCTGCGTCTTTATTAATTATTAATAATTCTGAAAATAACAATAATAACAGTACATCGAATAGCGACGATAATGTCAACGGTAATCTTGTGAATGGCAACAATAACGATAATGATAACAGTAACAACCAAGTGCCAAACGATAATAATAGAGTTGATAGAGTCAAAAAAAATGACGATGTAGTAACTGAAAACGACAATAGCAATAATAATTCCGGTAATGTAAATTCTAATAAATCGGAACTCCCCCTCCCCCCCGATAATCAAGAATCCGATAGAACGTAACAGAAAACTATTACGTATTATTATTGATTGGATAATAAACGTAAACAACTCTTAAGATAATTTACTGTAACATACAAAAATAATAATAATTAGTAATTTATGTATATTAAAATCAATTAGTGTCATTAAATAAAATCATCAAATAAAATATATTGCATACAATCATTAAATAAAATATATTGCATACTAATAATAAGATATGTATTGATATTGATATTAATACTGTTTAGATACTATTCTGTTTGGAATAATAATATACATACATCAAGTAATCTTTAGGCAACAATCTTTGAAATTATTTACTATAACTATTTACTAACATACTTATTTATAATGTACAAAAATGACAATAATTAATAACTATATATTAAAACTAAAATATAGTATTAAATAAAATAAAAAAAAACGTGCATACTAGGATTTATAATTTATTTAAAAAAAAAGTTAAGTTTCAAAAAAGTTTATATTTAAAAAACTTGTGATGTAATATTATAGTAAGAAATATGTATATAAAAAAAAAATGTTTTTATCTGTTGTGTATATTGATTTAATTTTTCCTTTCTTATTAACATCATAATCGTAAATCAGATTTATTATTACATCAGATTATATGAATAACCATGACAAGCATTCATAATTACATATATTATGTGCAATAAAAACAGGGCGATTTTGCGGAATAAAATTTGAATTTATTACTTCAATATTATTATCGTTTTATTGTCACTTTGATTATCCATTATTGTCTAGACAAACACATAGTATTTTAAACTGTAAAGTTAAAGAGAGTCAATAGACTTATATGTCATCCACAGCAATGATAGATCGATGATACCGCGACATCGAGCGTATTTCGACTGTAATACCACATACATGTTACACAACGACGTCTCTAACGATATTCAAACGAGATACAATGAGAAGATTAAGATGAAACCGAATTCGCATTATCACTATCGGGCTTAGATTAAAGCTCTGAGCACTAATTTAGCATTTACATCGTACATGTTACTACGCTCACGGAGATTATTTCCTGGCTTCGTTAATCTTACCCACGTGTGTGCGAACGATCGAGCTTTTGACTGTAGCCATAGAATTTCGAAGAGAAACGAAAAAAATTACATACGTTGACGAGGGGAGAAAGGCGGAAGGGGGTTCCACAGAACAATGCTCTATACTTAAATTTGTTACATGAAAAATGCCTTTCATCTTTCTTTTGTATACATATTCTCTTTAATCTTTAAATCTTAAACGGTTTTGCGACCGCAATGTATGTCACCTCGTTTTTGATTCATTATTATAAAAAGATATGGATAACAGTAATATTTTGAGAAAGCTATCGCTTCATAATTAAATTGCATTCTTTTTAAAAATGTTGGAAATATTCTGAGAAATGTTTCTTAAAACATAAAAGATAGAAAAAAATCTACAATTACTACATTTTACATTTCCTATAAGAGAAGGAGAAAGTTTTTTTTCCAGGTAAGCTCGAAAATTATATGGGAAGAGAATTTTAAGAGCCATTTTATTTTTCTAATCAAGAATTAAAAATTTTTCTTGTAAATCATTGCGCTTCTTAGCATTTTTTTCAATAAACTACAATTATTTAAGCAAATAATAAGCTTAAAAAAAACATATTCGTTGCTTTTCTAATTTCTTATACCACAAGTACCTAAAATCTCACATCATGGGTCATAGAAATATTAAATATTAAATCGTAACAGGATGAGAAATATCTGAAAAATAAAGACAATTCGTTCGATTAGCTAATGTGATCATAATCGAATCATTTCATTGCGAATGTGTATTATTCTATTTTCAAACAACCATTTCCGACATATTTCGTTCGATTTATGGTTTCATGCCTGATAATAATCATCGCATTGACGTATGCGAATCTTAATCCTCTTTTTATGATCCTACGGCTTGCCACGGTCGCCAGAGGAACGTCGGCGCATAAAATATTTCGATCTCGCGATGATTTATCGGTAAGTCTGGGCTAAGTAATAATCATCAAAGTGACATACAATTTCTCGCGGCTGTGCTCGTTTAAATGGGAAACCGGAGGCGCAATAAAATATTTCGATCTTACGATGATTTATTATCGAGCTAAATAGTAACGGCCAAATTGTGTAATCTTTTATCCTTCCTTCGTATTATTGCGAGAAGTCGCAAGAACAAAATATTCCTCGTTGAATCATTCGAAAGTAACTTGTCGGTCCTCGAGTTAAATATTAATGGGAATAAATTATCGTCAAATTATTATTGTAGATTGATCACAAAGATACTTCTCATCTTGCTTAAAAAGATGTAGACTGCAAAAGTCACAGCAATTTGTTACATATTGACATTGAGAGAAATATGAAGATATAAATATTAAGAATAACACGTGTGTATGTTTGCAGAAATTTTGTAGTAGCCACAAAGTTTCTTAAATATAACATGGATCCAAAATTTACTATGAAGAAAGATAGTTGAACGAGGATAATCCATCTGTAAATTGAAATTCTTTTTAATACGCAATACGCTTTCTGCATAAGTTTAAATCTGTTCGATACAGACGGCACATTTAAGGCGTTATATTAGGATTACGTAAGATTATTGTCGGCGAACAGTAAGCTTATTGTCAATCGATGGATTGCGCGACAAAATAATTTTTCCCGAATTTTTAGATTGTCGCTCAATTGCACAACGGGCTTCCTTACTTCTATTATACAACTTGTTTTTTAATTTTAAATTTAATTAATTTTCTCGATAAAAGATTTTCCGGCAATATATTATTAAACGTGTAACATCTGACGACAGATTATCGTCTAATAGTGATAGAAATATTCGCGTATCTACTGTTGACAAGGGATGATCAATGGTTAGTAAGGAAGAACGTCAGACTCTGGAATATAATATTGTCATTTGTTTAGTCTTGCGTGCTGCTTTCCCCTCGTCTTCATTGTATAATTCGCGCTAGTTATACGAGTGAGTCTGATTTAATATTCACACTGCTTTGAATGAGCAGCGAAAACACAAGGACTTTACATGGAGCGAGGCGCGATGTGGGAGTTCGACGTCCGTAGGAAGTTATCCATATCCGGTAACAGCAAAAACCTCTTGAAGCCGTGTCGACAATCTCCGTGCAGGGACTGCAAGTAGCGAGTTTTCGGGGTGAATATCGGTCTTAACGACCGAGTCGACGCGTCGGGGGTGTAGTTGGACGAGGACCCATCTGCGGGATTCTCCCTGAAATTCATTATTTTCGTTTATATCGCAAAATACCACTCGTCTAACGCCACAGATTGGATCCCTTGGATCGATTTTAAACATATAACTAATTAATAGCTCGCAATGATAGTGTCCGACATTTATCTAAAGGAAATAATATAAAGTTGATAAAAATAAGATAGACTATCATGCACAGTTATTATGCATAATTGCGTGTTATAGTGTATCTTGAGTTTTTCTTTCTACAAAAAGATAAAGAGAGAAACTTGATTATGAATGATATAATAAATAATGAATATATAAAAATTTATGCGTTCCTTGATTAAAATAATTATCCAATTAATTTTTTCCGACAGGCCTAGCTTTATAATTCTCTTGCGAGAACGACTCTGACAACACGGAAATATTCAATATATCGAGCATCGAATACCGATTTTACATTCTTATAATTTTCCACTCCTGTTTATCGATTACAAAAATTATCACTTTTTAAAAAAATTATGCATCGTCACGGAGCTTTAAAACAAAAATAAAATAAAATATGAGCATATCATTCCGACATAACACCGCATTTTTCTGCAATAATATATTCACAGAAACGATGCAAAATGGCATTAATAATTCTCAACGTCACTCATTTGAAAATTGTAAATATGAAAGTAGGATATCCAAATAAATCGCATCGCAATTTTTTATCTCTTTTAAAAATATATTTAATTAATATTGGGAGCTCTGCCCCTCTCTCTCTCTCTCTTCATTCGCAATAAAACATTTTAGAAATGATCTAAAAATTAACACCGAGCTAACGTAACAAAACTATACATCGATTCTACGTCATCTAACATCAATCTAACATCGAGATCTAGTCTCTCTAACAACGAGACATTACATCGAAACATTATACACCTATACACCTAACTACCGTGATGATTCCATGAGTAGAAGAAGAAGACATTGGAGAACATTTTTTTTGTACGTAGTGATTGTACATGGTGGTAGGTTCGTTGGTATTTGGATTATCTTTGACGTGATGTGGCTGATAGATCTGTTGGTACTGACACACATAGATATGATATATTTTCTCAGTCTGTAGTAGGTGGGGCTCTACTTGATTACAGGTACGACAAAATACGGTTGACATCACATCGAGGTAGGAGAAGAGGACACGGCGGAAGACACGGAGAGGCGGCTGACTAACGGTCTGACCTGTCGACCAGATATCGCGGCGATCGAGAGAATCGTGGTGCACGGAACGATGGAAGCCAGCCGAGGCGTGCGAGGGACCCGATATGTCTCTTACTCGGTTGCAATACCTCAGGATAGCCCGAATCGGCCGGCATCTCCGACTCGGAACCTGTTTCCGACAGAGTGTTGTGACAAAGTTGACTCGGCTCTATTTTTTCTCCTACGCTATAACTTTGAAAGCCTAATACTTGCGTGGGTGTAAAAAGAGACACATCGATGGAAATCGATTAAACTTACCGACCCCGATTGCGTAATTGAACTGATACAAATTTTATACCAATCAATTAGTAAGATTAAATATTGATCAGTTTGCAAAGAGAAATAAAATAAAATTTTATCTTCGTGAAAAATTCCTGCATGTAAATAACACTTGAAAATGAATATTAAATAATATTTTTCGCCCACGGTTTCAAAAACTTGTCTATCAATATATAAAATAAATTTTTCGGGGAAAAAATTAATTCTTTCAAATATATAAAGAGAAATCTCAAATAAGTCTTTCGATCAGACTGAAATAATTGCGCATAGAGCGATTCTACTCACCCATGAACCTCTTCTCCGCGTTCGGATAGTGATCGGCGATCGCTTCCATCATATCTTCATAATCGAGCATATTGTTTTGCATGACAGGCAACGGATATTCATCGGAGAAGTCTATCTGTCTCTTGTGCCTCGTCTGCGACGCTTCGATTCTCCTGTTCGATCTATTCTTCGCCTTGCCCTCATCTAGATCCTCCGAGACGGTGAAGGGAGTGGCCTGCCATTCGTTCTCTTTGCCCTCGCTATTTCCTTGCCTGATGAGTTGCTGAAGGTCCAAGGGCTCGCTGGGCGCCTCGCGATCGTCGCTCAAGGATCTCCCGTAACGCCGATTGAGCACTCGCGCCATTATCCTTCCGGATGTCATGCGACCTCGTTTCGCGACACTCGGCCAGTCGCCGCTTCTCGCCAAGGAGGCGATGCTGCGCTTGCCCTCGTCGTAATCGCGGGTCGGGTAGCTACCGCTTCGCGCCAACGAGCCCAGGTATCGTTTGCCATAAGGCAGGGAAGAATCCCTGGCCAGTGCGGCCACGTTCCTCTTGCCGCTTTGCGGCAGCATGTAATATCTCGCCAACGAGGCGACGTTCCTCTTGCCGCTCAGCGGCAGCATGCTCTGTCTGGCCAAGGAACCGACGTTTCTCTTGCCGCTCGGTAGACCATGATCGCGAGCCACCGAGGCGATATGACGTCTGCCCGTGGGCAACGCAAAGTCCCGTGCCAGAGAGCCGACGTTACGTTTGTCCGGGGAGTACTCGAGCACTTCCGGGTCCTGCTCGGTCAGGTAGTCATAGATCTCGGGCGTTCGTCGACGATACGATACCTCGTCGAACAATTCATGCAGGCTGCCCACGTTATCGCTTAATTCAATAAAAAATTAATTCATTAAATCAATTAATTTACGTCGAATAATTGGAACAATAATAATTTTTTAATAAGAAAATATAAGACTAGATATTATTATTATATTTTTAGGAAGGATTTTAATTATTCTAGCGTATCCCTGAAAGCTTGAATCACATTAAATGCATTTAAACATCAAAATCTGTAAAAGATACACGTACCTAGAAGATGCGCTTCTCTTTTCTTCGTCATCGTTGTCACTTTCGCGCTCTTGTATAGTAATCGGCAGGTCCCCGTTTTTAGCCAAAGTAGCAAGACTGCGTTTTTCTGATTCGGGAATCAGGTCCCTGGAATCGACCTCCTCGCTCAGAAAACGTCCGGGAAATTTGTAAGAACGCTCCATGGCACTGAGATGACTTCGCAATACCGGATTTCTAAAGAGTTCCAAGTAAGTACCACCGGGTATACAGATCTCGAAGTCTTCGTTTTCTTCCGAACTAAGAGCCTTCAAATGAACCATGTCGTCGTGATTCTTCACCTCCTGAACCATCAATGCCGTTCTCAAGTAAGCTGCCAGATTCGACCTGACCTCCGGTATGCGTAACATCGCCATGAAGGTCTTCTTTGGTATGCATTGCATGCCTTCTTCATCTTGACACGTCACCTGAAGCGAAATAAGCGTCAGTATCACGGTTCAATAGTTCTTCTTCATATATATCAGCCACTAATAAGATGCAAACGTTATTTCTTGCATGAAATATCTAGATTTATATTCATCCTTCAATTTGCTTTTATTAAACAATATCATGTCATGTATGTAAAATTATTTGAATTACATTATTATTACAAACATATATTTCAATATATAATAATCATATATGGTTATGTTTATTATCTACAGCAAGCTAATAGTGGAAATAATGTGTAAGATATACGGAAATTTTGAAATGTCTGATAGAGATGTACTTGAAAATTTATTCTTTCCCGATTTCCTCGAATTGTCGATTTCTCATACAATTCTATCAAGTCCTCTATATATATATTGTCGAAAGAGACGATAAAGCCTGCGCCTAATATCGCACACGAGTGTGTTTCGAAGCATATCTCGTAAATATACCTTAGTTCCAATGTCGGAGCCACGAACATTTGACCGACCAAAAAGTACAATAAAATACAGAAAAGATCGATGCCTCTTTATTTTTCGCTTGATATTTAGAGATATAAATTCCCATATTTGTTTTTTCATTAAGTATCGTTATCTAAATTTTAACAATTGCAATTTTTTATTTTAAATTTAAATAACATTGTTTTTAAAAAATAAAAGTATGGTTACACAACATATAAATAAATTAAATGTATTTTTATTTCATGCTAAAAATAATAAAATATGGAAAATAATAAAATATGGAAAAAACTGACTTGTTTAATTAAATAAATCAAATTAATTGTCACGAAGAGATTAAGTGCTGAATTAATGAAGTGACTTACTGGTAAAAATTCATAAAAATAATCCGCGATGATAGAGGAATGATCGGATAAATTTGTTACAAGAATGAAATACCGATGTGACATACGTTCGATATTCCAGCACATTTCACTTCATTTAATCTCCATTATTTCATAACGCTCAAGATAACTCAGTATTTATACAATCTGTTAAATTCCGTTTTAATCAATTGTCGTGAATCCAAGTCACGTGCGCGTCTCACGGCAAAGCAACCGTCACGTTTTGACATTAATTTTTCAGGGGAACGTGACGTACCGGCAACGCGATATCAGAGACAATATGATTCGTGTCTACGAGGATTTATGACAATTCGACGAAATACGAGACTGTAGCAATTAATCTGTAGATACATAATATGTGAAATACCAGTCGACTGCGCCGTAATTAAATGATCGTCCCAATGTCAGAGATGAATTAAATCTCTCTGCGGCTGCGACACGCTATTTATGTGATTGAGGATATATTACACTTTAATTTACGTGAAATACGCAGAGCGAGTTGAAAATGGAAATGGAAGGAGTATCATAGTTTGCGAGATACTAGAAATGCATAGAGTCTAATATTTATCTATCGGACATGTTTCGTGACAGAAAGTCTAATATTTATCTATCGGACGTGTTTCGTGTGAATCAAAAGTTATATATTTATCAACATTTATATAAGCTTTATAAAAGAGAAACGTTAATAAAACGTTAATTCAAATTTTTATTGCAATCTATTAAATTCATATTTTTTATAGTACAACCGTAGTAATAAAATTTGAAAATAATGATTGATGCACCAGTATCTTTTACAAAAAAATTTAGTTTTTATTAAATGTATTTTTTATTGAATGTAATAAATTTTTCGATGGAAATAAAATAAAAAAATCTTGTGTAATTATAATGATTTACGTTACTACAGTTATCATATCCGGGATTTATTAATATTGCAAATATTACATGATGTGTTGATTTAATATTGATTTATTTCGCATTCATAGTTTATGCTAATTCTAATAGTACTGATTCAATCTTGGCAATATGGGCTTGTGTAAACTCTGAAATGGTTTGTATATTTCGGTCAGATGTCGTTGACACTAACTGCGTCTACGTGCTGTGAGCGTTCAATAATATTCTCTGATATGAAATGTTGCATTGCGTATTTAGAGATGCCTTTCATTAGAATGTGATACTATAAGAAAATTGCTACAAGAAAATTTATTGGTGTAAAAAAATCTTTACATCTAAAAACATGCATTATATATGCATATTTCATATATAATGCAATGAAAAAAAAATATAATAATACAATAATATAATTTGGTAATGTAATAATACAACATCAAGTATGTATTTCATATAATAGAATCTATAAAATTCTCAAAATTGATTAATGATGACGAAAGTAAGAAGTAAACGTAAACAATTTATCATAAAATATATCTCATTATTATATAATGTTATTAATATATAATATTATATAATGTTATTACGCGTCATTAATGATGCTTCAAGCTTAATTTCGGTGACGCCAAGAGCGTGACGTCAAGCTCTGGACATGATAGCTACAATTATAACGCACATCCGTGGCCAGAATACCATGTGACACCTGTAGTTCACATTTTGCAATGCAATGTGGATGTTGAATTTAAATAACTTTGACATTTGTAAAAATTAAATACATTTTTTTACATTACTTTAAAATCAGACTTTTTTATTTTGGGGAAGTTACTATTGAATTAAAAATTTAGAAAATATTATATTTCTGTTACACCTTGAAAAATTCAAGCGCCGCATTTAAACTTTATATATTTCAAATATGCAGTTCTGGATAAAGTGAATAATAGTTTTATGTAAAATAGTTTTAAATAAATATTAGTTTTATGCAAATATAATATCAATTTTCAAAAAGTCCATGAAACATGCCAGGGATAAAGAGAAACTTTATACTCAAAAGAAATTCTACAAAGTTTACTGCAGAAGAAATTATTATAGATAACAAGATACATTTTTCATACATCACAGAGAAAGAGAGTGAGAGAGAGAGAGAAAGGAAGATTTAAAAAACAAATATAACTTTATATTTCGAACTCAAGTGTTATATTTGAAACGCATGCACCTGCTGCATTTTATACTATATAATTCTAGGTCTGCCTGTGGGGAATGCACGCACATTTGCATAAGGGAACGCATACGCAAGTACATTTGCGGAAATTTGGCTGCGTAACTACAATAATTTAATTTCCTTCATCGTATATCCATCCACGTTTTTTTTTCAATATTTAATTAATTTTTATAGAATTACATGTCTCCAATAATAAACCAAAATTTATATCTGTTTAGTGAATAAATTTTCTATATTATTCTATAAAAGCACAAAGGCTATAATAATATATTATTTCCACAAAGCGCTTGTAAATTAATTTGCGTAACAAGCTAACAAAAGATTCAACCTTGTAACGTTAATAAAGTAAATGTTTAATTATGGGGTCACTCCTGGGAATTATCACTTCGCGTAAAAGGTCAGAGAATAATTTTTGTTCGTATGCAGAAAATGTTACCAGTGTGTTACCAGTACATGTTTCACTAAACCCATTCGTATTTTCGATGTACGTTACTCGTGTGTTTCCCGACTAGTGAAACTAAATTGAATTCCTCGGCTTATCGTGTAGTAAGGAAAATCTGCACGTCATACCAAGTATTAACTTCTCGGTAGACACTTTCTCGGTTAACACGAAATTCCATTTGCATTCCTGAGACTAAGAACGATATCCGTGTATACGTAAAATATAATAAATATAATAAATTTAATTATATTAAATAATAGTAAATATGAAAATTCCACAAAATAATATGTAAAGTATGCTACATTATTTAATTGCTATGCTGTATTATTTGTTGTATTTAATTGTTTACAAATAAATTTTTGAAATAATATATATTTTATATATATTTTATAACATATATTTTACAATATATTTTATAAAATAGGAATTCGTCGCAATATATTTTATAAAATAGGAATTGTATCGACTCGATACCCTACGAAAGATACCCTTATTATCGAAAAACGACCCTTAGATCAAAAAAATTTAGCCTGGCTAAAAATGGTTTCTCCCATTTCTGCTATCACACGACGACTTCCAAGAATCACACATAAAAAGGAACGATATCGACCAAGTACATCTTGCAAAAGATATCCTTATTATCGAAATATAATCTAAGATACGATGTGCTTGCTTCGTGTCAATGACATTGTAAATAACTAAAGCTAACATATCCTTTTAAAGCTTTGCGTGTTGTTCATTTTTTCACTTATGTAATATTTTTATAAATCCTTGCTGTCCTTGGACGGGATTGGATATGTTTGCGTTATATAGCGTGTCCTGGATTTGTCTGGACTTTATTTTTGAATTTTAAAAGGATCTCAAGATTAGAAAAAAGTAAATTAAAGTAAAAAAAAGTAAATTACATTTACATTTAAATTGTATAAATAACATAGCGCCAAATGGCGTATATATAAATTCTATTTTAGAATATGCTATTAAGAAAAAGAAGAAGAAGAAGAAGTAATATTTTTATCATTAAAACACTTTTTATCTTTTTTACTTTTCATTTCGTTCATACACGTACACTGCTGAAAATCATTAGTGGGGTTGGTATTTGAATATTAAATATAATAAGACATAACATAAACATAATTGCAGTCATGTTTGATATAATTTGACATGATTTTTTTATAAAAAGATTTTTTTAATAAAAATATTTAAAAATAAAACAATTAAATTTTGTCAGTATATTTTATAGATAGAAACAAGAAGAAAATGTTATATGAATATTGATTTAAAAATATTTTTTAATACGTTATATTAAAAAGAAAAAAATATGTTTAATTTTCCATTTCAAAATGCTAGTCTCTCTTTTTCTCTCTCTTCATTTTTAATGTAAACTCTCTCTTGATATTATTGAGAGAGATTGAATTTAACATCTATATTATATTTTATACTCTAGTTTAGTATATCACCTTAATATTTGAATTAGTTTTAATTAGTTTTTTTAATGAGTTTTTTTTCATAAATTGTATGATTTTTATATAACATATTTTTATTCTTACAATTTCTTAAAAGAGTTAGTAGTTTCTCTAGATATCGAGTTGGAAGAAAACTAGAAAAAACT